TGTGAACTGGTGTTGGGGGCCGTGTGACTGGGAGGTGGGGGCTGGGGTCAAGGGCACGGTGTCTTTTTTCTTTTTTTTAAAGGGTTTTGCCATAGGATGCACGTGCTCACCAGAGAGAAACAGGCAGAGGGAAGGTGAGAAATCACCTCCCTGAGGGGATGGCCACGCTGTTCTCCATTCTCCTCTCGGGGTTTTAGGCATGCACACATGTCTGGCATGATTTTCAAGCTGCCACTGTGTTGGCCATGTGAGAGTCCAGTGCTGTAACCACTATGCCACCTGCTGGCCCCTCGGAGAGCGTGGTGTTGTAGTGGAACCCACCAACTCTGATATTCCAGGGTGGGCCTACTGGCAGCAGAGCATGGTGATTAAGACCCTGGACATGAGATAGATGATGTGGGTTTGAATATGTGACTCTGGGCAAACTGCCCAATCTCTCCAGACTTCAATGTCTTCATCTATAAAATGGGAACAATAGAAGAAATGTGACTCTAAGTAAATACACTCACATATCTCTATTATCTGGGATGAGAAGGGGAAACATGGGTCATTTATTTTCTGTTTTCTTGTCTTATTTTCTAAAATTCCTCCATTATCATCAAGTATTTACAATAGGAAAAACAAATGTGCTTCCTTTACAAATGGACTTCACTGAGCTATAACTTGCATACAACATAATCCCATTTAAAAATGGGAATAATAATAAATAATAGTGCCTACTCTCCAGGTTGTGGTGAGGACTGAAGGGTTAATGTATGGGAAAGCTTGGCCATTTCCTGGAGCACAAGAAGTGCTAATGGTGTCTGTTAAATAAATAAGCCCAGGGCCAGCCCGGCTTTCAAGCCTCTTCCTGCTCACCTGGCCTGACCCTCCACTGCTCTCCCAGGGCCAGGTTTTGCAGCTCTGTCCCTGCATTCCGAGTCCAGGTCCCAGCCACAGCACTGCAGGCCTGGGCTATTTCCACACCTTCCCTCTGCTGTAACAAAATACCATAGACCAGGCAGCTTATAAGTGCCAGGGTTGAGTCTGACCGTTCTGGAGGACAGGAAGTCCCAGATCAACACAGCGGATTTGGTGCCTGGTGAGGGTTGGCTTCTCGGTTCATAGAATGGAATCTCCTCGCTGAGTCCTCACATGGTGGAAGGGTGAGGGTCTCTCCCACCATGAGAGGGCGCTAGTCCCATAATGAGAGCTCTGCCTTCATGACCTCATCATCTCCCAAAGGCCTCACCTTTTTTTTTCTTTTTCTTTGTTTAGTTTGTTATAGGGCATGTGAGCTCATTGGAAAGAGACACACAGAGAGTGGTGACAGAGAGAGAGAGTGAGAAATCACCTCCTGGGGATGACCACACCAAAGTCCCTTTCCCTTCATTCTTTGAGATTTTGAGCATGCATGCACATGTGCCCGGTGTGGTTTTCAAGCTGCTGGGTCTGGGACTCAAACCATGCAGTCAGCCGTATGGGATTCAGCCACCTTAGCCACCACACCACCTGGTGGGCCCAGACCTCTCTTAGGAGACCTCTCTTACCATCACCTTGGGAGTTAGAAGTTCAAAATATGAATTGGGAGAGGGGGCACAAACATTCGAATCTGGTCTTACCCCTGACCTGGTTAAAAGCCTCCCACAGATGTCCATTGCCCCTAGCTTTTCCATGAGACACTGTTTCAGCAAGCTACTTAATTTCTCGGTGTCTCTGTTTTCAAAACTGAAAAAGAAAAATAGAGAACCTCCCTCACAAACATGTCACACACTGTGCTGTCTGGTCAGAGCTTCTCTGACCTCCTGCCTCTTCTCCAGCATTCTGTTCTAGCCTGTTCTTCTTGGGACTCACCAGCCCTGGTGTGACAGCAGGGCTTCTGCACATGCTCTTTCCCCCACCTCATGGCTCTTGCCTCAGGCATCAGACCAGCTCACTCCCTCACCTCCTTCACACCATTGCCCCAAAGTCACCTTCTCCAGCCTTCTCCATGATCCGCCTAGATGACCCTATTCAAAGCCACAACTTCTCCATCGGGGACCCCAACCTCCCCAACCTCCCCAACGTTCACTCAGTCTCATCTATCATCGCCTATCAGTATTTTACTTATTGTTTCTTGTCTGTCTTTTCTCCCTGTCCCTTCAGGGCAGATCTTTCTGGTCTCTCTTTTTTATTGTCAGATCCTCCCCACCCCCCAAGCATCTAGCAAGTAGCTGCCACAATGAAGGGGTTTAATAAGTAACAGTGGAATGACTAAATGCATGATGTAAAGCGCTTAGGACAGTCAGGCAGGGGGTAAGCACTCAGTGAAGCGAGCTATTTATTACTATTATCGATTCTTCAAGGTGAGGTTCTTGAGTTCCTCCTCCTTCACTCCTAAGCCTACACTGCACCATGTCAACCTCTCAGTTGCAGTAGGAAGCATACTGCTCTCTACTGATACCTTTTTCCATGTAGGCAAACCAAATAAAACGGCCATTTCCGTAGGTCAAACCCAGCTGGGGGCAGCTAGGTGGTGCAGCGATAACGCGCTGCTTATGCAAGGCGGGATCCATACAGGTGATCCCGGGTTCAGTTTCCCGGTCCACTTGTACATGCCACGTCACTGGCTCCTCCTGCTCCCGACTGGTTGCGAAGTTTCTCAGGGAGGGATCACAGCATGAGACCCAGCTGACCCTCCCCCTCTCTCTTATGAAAGAATAAAACCATACAAAAACAACAAAAAAACTGTCCAATACTGGCCACGTCACACAGCTTAATCTAACGTTTCCCAGGTTCCCACGGCAGCCTGGAGGCCCAGGAAGCACCTCATGCCTGATACACCGTAGGCACCCAATAAATGTCTGCTCGGGGAAGTGCAGGCATCCACTTCTGGAGGAGGCAAGGCCCTGAATAGAGACTTAAATAATAGGGATCTTGCTGAATTATTTTCTAGTTCTTCCGAGATTTTGCAGAGAAGATAAAAACACATCAAACTCTAAAGCAATCCAGGTTCTGATCATTTGGAAGGAGCAAAACTTGAAGACTGAAATCTCTTCCCCGTTAGAAAGCTAGCTACCTGCCTCTGAGGACATTCACTTAATGACAAGGACGGGCAACCGACATTCTTTGGTTGCGTTCATGGCTGCTTCCAACAAAAGGAGGCCTGAGTTGCTAGCGCTGAAATGAATTCAGCAATCACTGGGTCTACCTCCATATCACAGATGCAGAAAGTGAGGTCTGGGGAGGGGAAGGGCCAGAGAAGGGGAGGCCACACAGTGGGACAGAGAAAGTGTTCCTCCAGGTCCATGTCGGCTGACTTCAGTCTTATGGTCACTCTTCCTTCTGGATTACACTTCTATGTTGGCCAGACTCCAGTAATGTAAGTCTAGTGCTGCTACTTTTCTTTTTTGTGTTGCCACAGGGTGCGTGCACTGCCAGAGAGAGGGAGGGAGAGAGAGAGATAGAGAGAGAACACCTCCCGGTGGGGCGTGGTCACAGTGCAATCCTTTTTTCTCCATTCTCCATCCGGTCAGGATTTGGGGCACACATGCATATCCACCCAGTGTGTTTTCCAGGCCACTGGGGTTAGGATTTGAACTGTGGTCAGCAATATGGGATCTGGCTGTCTATATACAGTGCTTAACCAATGTGCTCTATGTGGAAAGAGTTTTGTTTTGTTTGCACTCGTCAGAGAGAGACAGAGAGAAAGAAAGGGAGGGAGAGTGAGAAATCACCCCTAGGGGGGGATGGCCATGTTGCAGTCCCTTCTCCACCATTCTCCTGTAGAGATTTTGGGCAAGCATGCACACATGCCCAGTATCATTTTCAAGCTGCAGGGTCCAGGACTCCAGTGGCACAATCAGCCATGGGGGATCCAGACTCCTTAACCCCCATAACACCTACTGTCCCCCACTTAAAAATTATTTAATTTTATTTATTATTATTTTTAAATTTGCTACAGGGTACGTGTGCTCACTAGAGAGGCACAGAGAGAGTGAGGGAAAGGGAAAAAACAAGGCACCAGGTCTGGGACTCAAACCATGGTAACGGTCGGCCACGTGGATGTCCAGTACCTTAACCACCACGTCATCTGCTGGCCCCTCCCTGTTTTGTCTTTAAGGTTTATTTTGAAATTAATTTCTTCCATGGGTCAGTGACAGACAGAGAAACCACACCCCCACGTGGTCTTGACGCTGTGGTCCATCCCTAGCTCAGACCAGCCAGGACCATAGGTAGGCACACGCCCAGCGTAATCAGGGTGTCTGTGGGTGTGAATCTGGAACTTTCCCACATGGGTCAGCCTCGCAGAGCATTGTGTTTGACCACAGCACTGCTGCCTAGCTCCAGTGTCACTACTGTTTAAGCTGCATTTCCCAAAATGTTTATTAAAATGTCTATTAAGCCTCAGATAAAACACAGAGCTTCTTCAGTG